AGAGTGTGTGCCAGTCTCTCAGGCCACATGCTGGGCTGGTGGTTACTTGCATTACCACACCTTCGATGGATGGGTGTATGATTTCCACGGCACCTGCAACTACATGGTGGCCAAGACCTGCAGGGATGACTCCGTCCTGCCCTCCTTCCACGTCATAGCCGAGAGCGAGAACAGTGGAAACACACAGGCTTTCTACATTGGGTCGGTGACTGTCCAGATAGATGGAGTCACTGTCACAGCAGCCAGGACTGAGGTCGGCTTTGTGTGGGTGAGTGCTTGGCACACACGTCACCTTGCTCCTATGCTCACCCTGTAGGCTTTACTAAACAGAGGGCAGGAAACTGCACTCCTGACCTCCATGTAGAATTGCAAGCTAGACAAAATCTGGTGTGGTCAGTACATAGATAGGCTACCTTGAAAAAAATACCCCAAGGTGTTGCAGTGGGTATTATTATTGATTTAGTAGGAGCTCTGCCACTGTATCTGTGCTGTCACCCACATACCAGCACTTTGATAGGGGGCACTGTACTATTTAGATGTGTAGGTGTCTCAGTAGCAGGACCTTTCTCCCGAGTTAATATTAAGCCCAATGCCCAGCAGGACACTGGTGAGAGTTCTGTGGTAGGGAGCGGTCTGGGTACCAAGTACAGAGCACTCTCCCCTTGCAGTTAGTGCTGACCCCAATGCCCATCATGGCACTAGCAGGTGCTGTGTGGCAGGGAGTGGTGTGTGGGGGGGTCAGTCGGGGGTGCTGTCCCATCAGAGTTGCACTGATCCCAATCTGGCTCTAGAGGGTGCTGTGCTGAGGGGAGCAGGTTGGGTGGCTTAGTATAAGGAGCTGTTAGCTCTGTCACAAGCACATAGGATCTACACACCAGATAAAGTGTAGATGTGAACATTTGGTCATTACATATCCCACAGCATGTCATGCAGGAGCAGGGCAAATCCCAGCTCCACTGAGTCCATCCTTCCGCAAATTCCCCAGCAGTTTCTAATGTAACAGGGATTCTTCTAGAGCCCACCTGAGGAGAATCCCCACTATTGGATCCAGGAGGACATGCCTGAGCTCTAAGCTATGGGGAAACTCTGAGGCACATCTCAGGGCCTTTGAACTACAGAGCCATCTCCAACCTGAGGTACCTCAGGAGCCCCGGAACATTGTAGTCAGCTCCTAGAGACCTCTCGTCCCCCAGGTGATGCTGCTAACAGCTGTCACCAACGCAGCCCCCTCTTTCAGTGGAGCCGCTCCTTAACAGCTCTAACCAATGCAGTCCCTGTCATTTACAGCAGCTGCCAGCAATTCTTATTGCCAGCCCTTTCATCTACAATGGGCTATATTGAAATCACAGGTCCAATAGAGGAATTATTTGGAAAAATTCCAATCAATAGTAATGGAACCAACTCATAATTTTCACTGAATCTGGACCCAAATCTGAACCAATAGTAAATTATAGCATCATACTAGATAGAGGTGGCTGGAGAAAGTTAATTCCATTTGGGAGAGGATTTCAATTATTTGAAAATGAGCTTCATTCCAATATGGAATGAGAACCCAAAAATTACTAAATTTTCTGGGAAGGGGAATGGAATCCTGGCTCCAGGTCAGTCTTTGAAATCTGTTTGGTCCATTAAAATCATTGAAAAGGAACTTTCTCCTCAAAACTTTTGGATTTTGAAGAATAGGCAAATACTAGTGAAAAACTGTATCTGAGAAGAGGTCCCTTTCTAAATGAACGACCCTATGCACTCGATTCTGACCTTTGCCCTTTCTTTCTCACTGGGAAGGTGAATAACACCAGGGCCCACTTACCCATCTCCCTGAACAACGGGGCCCTTCGGCTCTATCAGAGTGGCACCTCCCTCGTCCTCCGCACTGACTTCAACCTCAGGGTGTCCTATGACTGGAACAACCACCTGAGGGTCACCGTCCCTAATGACTTCTCTGACAGCCTGTGCGGCCTGTGTGGCAACTATAATAGGGACCCCTCCGATGACTTCCAGACCTCAGAAGGGGACCGGGCTCGCAGTGTCGCCACCCTGGGGAAAAGCTGGGCAGTGGAAGATGAGGATCAGTTTTGCTGGCACGATTGCATTGGAGGTTGCAGACCCTGTGCCGCCAGCATAGCCAGAAAGTACAAGGAAGAGGCCTCGTGCGGCCTGATAACCAAGGTCTCAGATGGGCCCTTCAGCCAGTGCCACACCAAGGTGGATCCTACAGTCTACTTGGACAACTGCGTGTACGATCTGTGCCACAATGACGGCTACAGGAGGGCCCTGTGTGAGGCCCTGAAGGCCTATGCGGACGCTTGCCAGCTGGAGGGGGTCAGGATTGGGGAATGGAGGCAGCTGGCCAGATGCCGTGAGTACAGATTTGTATGCCAAGGTCTATGGTCTGCTGGTTAGACCGTGGAGCCTGGGGCTCAGCACTCTTGAGTTCTAGCCCCGGTGTTGGGAAGGAGCGTGATCGAGTGGTTTGGGATTGAATAATGATTGGGAAATCAGGAGTTCTAGCCCTGCTGTTGGGAGTAAGGTTGCCAACTTTCTAATCACAGAAAACTGAACACCCTTGTCCCACCTCCCTGCCCTGCCCCTTCTCCGAGGCCCCACCCTCTGCTCACTCCATCTCCCCCCTCCAATGTCGCTTCGCTCTCCCCAACCCTTGCTCACGCGCTTATTTTCACCAGCCTGGGGCGGGGTTTGAAGTGCAAGAGGGGGAGGAGAGAGTGGGGAGGGACTCTGGACTGGGGGTGCAGGCTCTGGGGTGGAGCCATAAATGAAGTTTTCAGGGTGCAGGAGGGGGGTCTGGGCTGGGACAGGGGATTAGGGTGCGGGAGAGGGTGAGGGTGAGGGCTCTGTCTGGGGGTGTGGGCTCTGGGGTGGGGCCTGGGATGAGGGGTTTGGAGTGCAGGAGGGATGCTCTGGGCTGGAGAAGGGAGTGTGAGTGCAGGATGGGGTTCAGGGTGCGGGCTCTGGGAGGGAGTTTGGGTGCGGGAGGGGGCTCAGGGCTGGGGCAGGGAGTTGGGTTGCAGGAGGGGGCTCAGTGCTAGGGCAGGGAGTTGGGTTGCAGGAGGTGGCTCAGGGCTAGGGCAGGGGTTGGGGAGGGGATGCGGGGTGTGGGCTCTGGGTGGTGCTTACCTCAGGCAGCACCTGGGAAGCAGAGATATGCCCCTCCTGCTTGGAGGTAGCCATGGGGCTCTGTGTGCTGCTCCCAACCCCAGGTACTGCCCCCACAGCTCCCATTGGCCGTTCCCAGCCAGTGGGAGCCGTGGAGCTGGCACTTGGGGTGGGGGCAAAGCAAGGAGCCCCTGTGGCTGCCCCTGAGATGGAGGGACATGTCGCTGCTTCCCAGGAGCTGCATGGAGCCAGGTAGAGAGCCTGCCTGCCCCGCTGCACCACCAACTGGAGTTTTAACGGGTCGGTCAGTGGTGCTGACTGGAGACACTAGGGTCCCTTTTCGACTGGGTAAACCCAGAAACCCGGAAACCCTATTTGGGAGGGAGTGTGATCAAGTGATTTGGGATTGAGCAGTGATTGGGAAATCAGAGCTCCTGGATTCTATTGTACCTACAGTACTTGTCTGTCCATGGTATTGCTAAGGTGCCTGTGTAGTTTTGTGTGTAGATTTGCCCTAAGTTATGTGATGTACAGCCACAGCAGTACCTGAATCGGTTTTACGTGTCCGCACTCTGCTCCTTGTGTCGGCAGTGCACGTCCTCATCAGGAGCGCTTGCAGCAATTTAACTGTCCGTGTGGGGCATTGTGGGATGGCTTCTGAAAGGCAGCAACAGTCGACGTAATCACTGCACTGTCTACATCTACATCAACCTAACTAAATCGACCGAAGCACTATGCTCTATGCCTTTTGCGGAGGTGGAGTTATTAAGTCAGTGTAGTAGGCGAGTTACAGAGGTGGGAGCTCCATTTTAGTGAAGACTCCAACAGAATTAGGTTGACATAAGCTGCCCTACATTCATCTAACTCGGTAGTGTAGACCAGGTCTCCATCTGAGCTCTTTGGTCAGACTCCAGGTGAGAGCCCCAACTCCTGCCAGCAGCCAACCCTTATTTCCCCACATCACATTTCCCAGTCCTTTCTTCTCGAGCTGGGGGATTTTTGCTCCACCTCCCTGCTGAGAGGCAGGGAAATCCATCCACCTCGGAGTCGTTTATTGCTAGGTGTCAATGTCCTTGTGACTGCATTTGCCATTATCTTCTGGATTCTCCACTGATATGGGGTCCCTCTCAGCCAGTCCTTTTTAATGACCCATCCAGCTGAGACAGCTCGGCGACATTCGTACCGATGTTTCTTACACGTCTACACTAGCAAGCTTAGAGCAGCACAGCTGCACCGATACCCCTGTGCCGCTGTGAGATCGCTCGTGCAGCTGCGTTGTGCTGACGGGAGAGCTCTCCCAGCAACGTAATAAAACCAGCTCAACGAGTGGCGGGAGCTTTGCTGGCAGGAGAGCATCACCCGCCAACATAGCGCTCTGCACACAAGTGCTTATGCCAGCAAAACTTGTGTTGCTCGGCGGGGGTGTTGTTTTTCACACCCCTGAGTGACAAAAGTTTTGCTGACATAAGTGCTCGTGTAGACATGGCCTTAGCGTGCCCTGGGAGCAAACAGTCATTTTGGACACACTGGGGAACACAGAAGGCATATGGGAAAACTGAGGCACACATAGAGGTTATAAAAATAGTACACACAATCCCCCCTTCATCACAGCCTGTCACTTTGAGTATCTAACGTCGACTGATAACACATGGATGGTTGAGGTGAAATGATGCCTTTTTTAAGTGACTCTTCCTACTATGGGCCTGATCCTGTAAGGGGCGAAGCACCTTCTACAACATACTGAGCACCCTCAGCCAATGTTGAGGTCACTGGGATTTGAGGGCACTCGTAGCCCCACAAGATACATCCCTTTCAGTCTATTTTAAATATTGCTTTTGCGTGGAGAGGGTTTGCTGTTAAATCTGTGGGTCCTTCACTCCCCAGCCATGGCGTGCCCCCTGGAGAACAGCCAATACCAGCTCTGTGGAACAGCCTGCCCAGCCACGTGTGTGGACCAGTCAGCCCCCAGCAGCTGCCAAGACCCCTGTGTGGAAAGCTGCCAGTGCAAGGATGGTTTTGTGCTGAGCCAGGGCAAATGCATCCCCAAGGGCGGCTGTGGGTGCCAGTTTGAGGGGCGTCCCTATGCCCCCAATGAGAGTTTCTGGGTCGATGAGGTATGTGGGACACGGTGCATGTGCAACGCAGCCACTAGACAGGTCGAATGCGCGGCTGCTACGTGCAAACACTCGGAGAGGTGCGGGCTAGTGAACGGCGTACGAGGCTGTTACCCCTCCAGCTATGCCACCTGCTCTGTGACAAGGAATCTGCACTACACCACCTTTGATGGACAGAGATACGACTTCCAAGGCACCTGCCGCTACCAGCTCACGGCCCTGTGCAAGAAGGCGGAGGGACTGGTGGACTTTGAAGTCTACTTCCAGGAAAGCAATACTGCTCCTGTGCAGATCAAGGTCTATGAGACCGACATCAGGGTCAGCAATCAATTCCCTGGGAGAATCATGGTGAGTTGCAGAAATCACATCTAGTCACTAAAACATTTCTGGAAAGTCACGTTTGTGATCAGAAGTCGGTTGCAGAAAAAGCATAGAAGGATCTTAAAAAACAGGTCAAATATTAACTGGATTCTGATGTGAACGGACAACCAGTGGAGAAGCTAGAGGGTTGGGGTGATGTGGTTACACTTTGTCTGTGTGAGAAAGTGTCAATAGCATCCAACATATGTGGGAACTTTGGGAGCTGGGGCTCAGGTAGCACACAGAGGAGGGAACAGCAATAGCCAATGCCAGAGGAAATGGAAAGTCTGGTTGGAGGATCCTTCCTAGTCTGGAGAGCAGGGATTCAGGCAGGCTGTAGAGGAGGGAGCAGGTCAACCTGGATGAAGATTTCAGCAGCAGTAGATGGGCCAGAGCTCTGTGCTGGAGCCAGAGGTTCCACCACGAGCAAGCAATGTTTCATATCCCATATGTCTTGCTTTTATAGGTGAACAGTTTCCTGATTACCCTTCCCTTCAACCTCGATGATAAGAAAATCACTATGTATAGAAAGGGCTGGGCCACAGTGATCCAGACAGACTTTGGTCTCACCGTTACCTATGCCGGGTGGTCAGGACGTACCACGATCACTCTGCCAGTCACCTACGTGGGAGCTGTGTGTGGTCTGTGTGGCAATTTCAACAGGGACAGGGAGAACGACATGCTCATGAGGGATGGCACGCTGGCACCAAGCCCCATCAGCTTTGGCCAGAGCTGGAAGGTGGGCGACCTCCCAGGATGCTCTGCAGTAACGATACCACCATGTGCAAGTGTAGAGGCTATTGAAAAACAACAACGAGGTAGCAGAGGGCAGTGTGGGATCATCCTCCACAAGAGTGGCCCTTTCAGAGGATGTCACAGCAAAGTGGACCCCCATGGATACTTCGTAGACTGCGTGTACGGCTATTGCGTCCTCAGTGGGCGGGAGAGTAACGTCTGCCAGGCAGTTGCTGGCTATTCCGAGGCATGTCAGGAAGCTGGAGCTATGGTGCGTCCCTGGAGGACTACGAAATTCTGCTGTGAGTCCCCCATGTTCAGCGCTGCCTGCCCCTTGGGGGATCGTTAATTCTTGTTGGCTGGTAGATGTGGATCTAAACACTGCAGAACATTTTTACAGACAATGGTCTCTCTCAGCAGGCAGCTGCACCCTAGCCCAGGGTGCAGCTGCCAAGGCCACTACGAGTGCTGAACCCACAGCACTAGGGAAACACTGCTAGGAATGTAGTGTGCTCTCCATGGCCAGTCCAATCCTTGCCTTCCCTTCTGAGACTGGGGCCTAATCAGAGCTGGGACTCAGGGTGGCTTCTCACTGGGATGTTTGTCCATTAGGAACTGGGCTGGGAACCCACCAACTCATCCCACACAAGCCATCAGTTGGGAATGAATTTTAACCGCTACTGACCCTGATTCAAATCAAAAAGCTAGTTGTGAGACCATGAAACAATAAACCGAATTAGAAACCCCATCGTAGGAGAGAGATTGTCTGTATCCCGTCTCCTGGCCTCTGTGAGGCAACCAGTTCATCAGACCTGGGACCCCATTACACATGCTGCCTTTTGTTAATTAACCAAACCAAGGAAATAGAAAATTAGGAGCTGGAATGAAATTGCATCTTTTAGTAACAGTTCCTTTTTAAACATTGCTAATGCGCGATGTGAGCTAACTCTTTCTTCTAATTACAGCTCCGTCCTGTCCCCCGAACAGTCACTACGAATTCTGCAGCAGCAGCTGCGATCTGACATGCAGCAACCTCTATGCCCCGGTGCAATGCACGACCCAGTGTAAGGAAGGCTGCGTGTGTGACGAGGGCTTCGTTCTCAGTGGCGACAGCTGCGTCCCCATTTCCCAGTGCGGATGCCTCCACTGGGGACTTTACCACCAGGCCGGGGAGACCTTCCACCCGAGCGGTTCATGCGAGGAGCAGTGCGTGTGTCTGGCTGGTGGGGAGGTTGTGTGTAAGGCATTCTCCTGCAGCACTGGTGAGGAATGCGGGGTCGTGGACGGCATCCAGAAATGCCACCCATTTGGATCTGCGACCTGTTCTGCCTCTGGCCATCCCCACTACCTCTCTTTCGACGGGGTCCCCTTTGACTTCCAAGGCACCTGCACCTACATCCTGGCCAAGACCTGCACTGATGCCAGTGACCTTACACCATTCTCTATCAGCATAGAGAAAGAAGATTGGGGAACCAGGAACATGTCCATGGCCAAGTTGGTGTCCATCCAGGTGTATGGGATCACACTCACCCTACTGCAAAACAAACAAGGGCTCATCATGGTAAGTCCTCCATATTCTCATGGGCAGAGATTTTATTCTATTCTACACAGGTTTGTTTGCAGTTTGGCCATCTCTCTAAGGCCCCCTCATGGCAAAGGTTGCACTGCAGGTAGTCTGCCTCAGCTTTCCCCTCTTGGGCTCCTCAATAGCTCAGAAGACAAGCTGAATAACAACCACCCTCCTTAGGGTCTGGATTATTAAATTATCAAACATGACAAAATAAAGTTTTCAAGTCCATCCATTTTTCTCCATACCAGGTCACTCCGAGTTCTTTCCTGTCTGTAGTCATGCTCCCCAAATTTCAAGTTTCCCTGCTGGAGTCTATTCGCTCCCATCAGCCTCTTGATTCTCTTCTGTTCTCCCTGAGAACTCTCTCTGCAGGGCCAGCCTCCCATCTTCCTCCTGCTGCTCTTGTAGGGGAATCAGGTGATTCGTGCTCCTCAGGTGTGCCTCCTTTAGTAATCAGGGTTGGCTGGCCCGCTGGCCTTAAAGGACAAGCCACCCACTTACAAATTCTTATAACATGCGCATCCATGTAGTATTTCAGCACTTTCCAGCAACACACTAAGTAACTTAACCAACACTCTCATCCTATCCCCAGGAGGAGATGTGCCTACAGGGGAGTGTTTTGCATTGGATTTACTTTTAAAAGATATAAATGTGCACGCATATTGCCTTCTATATATATGTGTGTGTGTGTGTGTGTGTGTGTTTGAGACAGCAGGTCAGAGAAATGCACCTTGCACTTGGGGTGGAAGTGGTGAGGTTTGTCAGGGTCCTTTGTTCCTGAGGGAGTTCATTCCTCAGTCTCGAACTGGTCACCAGTAAAGCTCCATCTCCTGCACAGACAAACTTTACCCTTATTTTCCCAGAAGGTTTAATTGATCTTTTAGATAGCCAGGGCCCAGGCCATTGAACGCCTTGAAGATAAGTTCTGAGAACTTGAACTGAATTCAGTGTTCTCTTTGGAAGGCAGAAGAGGGAGCAGAGGACAGTTTTGATGTAATCTCAGTAGCCAGTGCTGGTGAGGAGACGCTTCTGGATAGAGATTCTGGAGTGCTGAAGGATTCATGGTATATCACATTACTGTAGTCCAGAAGAGAGGTGATGAAGGCATGAAATAATTGATGCCAGATCATCATCCATCAGGATGGGACAAAGGGTCTCCTGGCCAACTGGAGATGGTAGGAAGTATTGCTCATGGATGCTGCTATGTCAGAGTTTCATTTGAGCAAGCTGAGCATCCTCTTAGCTCAGCTCAATCTTCTTTGCCTCACTTCTTGGTTTATACACCATGTTTCTCAGAATTAATCATTTGGGGAACTCTCTACACCTAATTCACATTTTTGCAAACATGGAATAAACTTCCTCTCCCATTTTAACTCCATTTGGCTCTGTGTTAAAGAATTTCTCCCATGATGCATTCCCCTGAGAAGCCTTCAGTCTAACTTGGGACAAATAAAACATGTGGTAAATTGGTGGAGATAGGAGAAGAAGGCAAGGGGTGAAGGAATGAGGTGTCACCAGGGAAGTGGGTCTTTAGGGGAGAAAGGGAGACAGACAAGAAGTAGGAGAGTATTCTGTGTGCAGGAGCTTGCATGAAAAGGAGGTGCAAGCCAAACATGGTTGGAGAAAATAGCAATGGTAAAGAGAGAGAACTGGGAGGGAGCTGAGGTGATTGCAGAAAGGAGAGAAGAGATGTAGACTAGGGTGGAAATGTGAAGACCTTGGAAGGTGAGGACAAGTCATCCCAAAGAGAAATCTGGAGTCATTCTGATTTATGCCATGTGTCAGTGAGAGCAGAATCTTGTCTGTGTCCCTGCTTCCCCGTGCTCACAGGGAATGTTCTCTCTCTTCCAGGTGAACGGGGTGTCCCACAACCTCCCAGTGATCGTGGCTGATGGGCAACTTAGAGCATATCAACATGGCACAAACATTCTGGTGCAAACCAACTTCGGCCTCACTGTGAGCTATGACCTGGTTTACCAGGCCAGGGTCACCATCCCAGGAAGCTTACGAGGGCCAGACGTGCGGCCTGTGCGGGAACTACAATGGACGGGAAGATGAGGAGTTCCTGCTCCCCAATGGCAGGACAGCCCCTGATGAGGCAGCATTTGGCTCTGCTTGGGAAGTCGAGATCCCAGGAGCATCCTGTACAGACAGATGTGCTGGAAACAGCTGTCCAGTTTGCGAAGAGAAGAAGAAGGATGTCTTCAGAGGGCGCAACTACTGTGGGCTGCTCACAGACCCCGACAGCCCCTTCGCAGCCTGCCACGGCGTGGTCAGCCCCAGCGTGTATCAGAGCAACTGCCTGTATGATGTGTGCCTGGGCAATGGGGATTCCCAGGTCCTGTGCCAGAGCATCCACAGCTACGTGACAGCCTGCCAAGAGGCTGGGGCCCCCATCCAGCCCTGGAGGAGCGCCTCCTTCTGCCGTAAGTGCGCGGACAGTGTAGGAGCTCTGGGACGCACTGGGAGAAGAGGGAAGGGGAGGTCAATATTGCCGAGCATCTTGTTCCAGGCCTCTGGGCTTCTTCTGGAACTCTTCTCAGTGGGAACCAACAATCTCATGTTCTCTTACTAAAGGTGCCCTGTTCCTCTCCTCCCTGTCCTGCTCTTCTCTCCTTTTGTGTCTGTCCCTCTACACTGTGGTGTGAGATCTTTCCAGGCATCCTTTATTTCTCTCTCTATTTAAGCTGTGAGCTGCCCAGCCAACAGCCACTACGAGGTCTGCGCTGACCTCTGCACCACCACCTGCTCTGGAGACATCATGGACTGCCCGGAGACCTGTGCTGAAGGCTGCCAGTGTGACGAGGGCTTCTTCTTCGATGGCCAGGGCTGTGTGACTCTGGAGAGCTGTGGGTGCTTTGAGCGTGGGAGATATTACAAGGTACCACCCCCTGCTGGAGCGTCTGGGTCTGATCTAATTTTTGCTCTGTCCACATCTTAATCCCTACACTGGTCAAGAATATAGGGTTTGCTGTACTGGATCAGAACATTGGTCCATCCAGGCTGGCTTCCCTCTCTGCTAGTAGCTAATGCTCAAAGTGCCAAAAAAGGCCAGAAGATTTAATGCCCTGTGCCTGTTGTGGGGAAACTGAGGCACAGATGAGGCACAGTGACTTGCTCAAGGCCACCTAGTGAATGAGTAGCAGATGGGAGGTTAAAACCTAGGAATTGTTCCTGGCCTTAAGCCCAGTCCTTAGCCCATTAGACAGCCTTTCTCTCTAAAGGCAAGAGGAAATAATATTATGACACAATGGACATTTTTATAGATACATAGATTCTAAGGCCAGAAGGGTCCATTGTGATCATCTAGTCTGCCCTCCTGTATAACACAGGCCAGAGAGCTACCCCAATATCATTCCGAGAGCACATCTGTTAGAAAAACACATCCACAGCTCTGGGTTTGGTGCTGTCAAAAATTATTTTAAATAATTGTTTCCAGTTACATTCTGTTATTTCCTGTTTTCCAAACGTTCCATCAGCCCAATGAGACGGTCCTGATGAGTGAATGCCAGCAAAGCTGCACGTGTGTTCCTGCCCGAGGGGTGACCTGTAAAGCCCAGGGCTGCTCCCGAGAAGAAATCTGCCAGATTAGAGATGGCGTCAGGGCCTGCGTCAGCAAAGGTACAGGACAGTCATTGTTTGAAACGTCCCTGGAAGGGTTATTGTACAGGCAGCGAGTAAGTAGCTGTGGTTAAGTCTCCTCACCCTTCTCACTCTCTCTCCCCCTTCATTTAGCCTGGAACTTTGACCCATAATATTGCAGAATTTCGACCGGAAAGATGGAAAGACTTGTTGGGTCTCTCCAGCAGAGCCGGGTGGGCAGCTGTCAGGGAGCTGTGCACATTCCATGATTCTCTCTCCGGGAGCAGGCTGGGGGCTGCTATAAACAGAACACCCTGGCTACAGACCCATAGGGACCATCAGTCATCTGGGCAGTGTCAGAGCCCATCACCTCTCAGCCACTCTCCTTGTCTGCTCCATGCTAGAGGTCCGCTTGGGCCTAATTTTTGAGGAGCCCAAGCCCGAGAAGGTCAGGTCATTTCCCGACCCAGCCTGACTCTTCCAATGAAAGTGGATGAGTGCCAGGGCCACCTCCCGCCCATGGGGTTGGCTCGGCGGTGGCTATGTACCTGTTCCTGCCATCTGCCATCCCTGGCTGCAGTGTGTGCGCTCTGGGGCAGCTCCCTCACTCCACAGTATGCATAATGCAGCCAGGTGGCAGTGCTCGTAGGAGCTGGGCATGCACCTACCTCCGCGCTCACCCCACAGGTAGGGCGGCCAACTGTCTCATTTGTGAAAACTGGACACTGAGCACTCGGAACCTCCCCTTCTTCCTGCTCCACCTCTTCCCCCAAGGCCCTGTCCCCTATTCCTCTTTCCCCACCCACTGTCGCTCTCTGCTCTCTCCACCACCCTGCCCCTGACAGCTGAACAGGGCTCTAGGGGTGGAAGGGTGACTGGAGCAGGACGTTGGAGAGAGAGCAGGGCTCTGAGGTTGATGGGGTGACTGGGGCAGGGTTGGGGAGGGAGAGCCGTGCTCAAGGCAGGATGGGGAGCCGCTGGTACGCCGGTACCTTTCTCCGCCGGAGCTGTTGCTGAGTGCTTCTCCAGGCTCCAGCAGTAGCTTCTGCTCTCCCCATTCCCTGGGTCGCGGAGGCTGGTTACTGTAGGTAACTGGACTTTTAGTGTCCGGTCTGCAGTGATGACTGGACATTGCCAGGTTCCCTTTTCGACCAGACTTTCCAGGCAAAAAAAGGAGACCTGGCAACCCTACCCACAGGCAGAAGGAGAACAGCTGACTTGACCCAAGCCCAAGAGGGTCCCGTTGATTTCCTACTCAACCTGACCCAGACTTGACACTTGTTGTCGGCTCCCATCAGGTTTGGGTTGCATTGCAGGGCTCTGCTCCATACTACCTGTCACATGGCTCTCTGTGTTAACCAGCAACACGAGAGGCTGTGGGAAGGGTGATATAGGAAGTGGCTCTGCTGGCTCAAAGACTGCTGTGGTCTCACCCATGCAGAGAGATTTCCCAGCAGAGGACTTGTGGGAGGTTTGGGAACTGTCCAAGGGAAATATGTATGGGGATGAATGGCTAGATAGATAGATCGATCATTCCCTCCATTTCACAAACAGGTTAGATTAAGAAGTAGGATTACCAATGACACTAAATATCATCCCAATTTTCACACCACCCTCAGCCCCCTCTCTGCTCTCACATATAACTGATTAGTCTGGTGTCTCTTGTCTTTCTATTGTCTTTCCCCACTAGTTATTCCAAAGCCATCATGCAGTGTGGTCCGCTGCAGAGAAGGAACTATTTGCAAGATGATAAATGGGCAGGCAGAGTGTGTGCCAGTCTCTCAGACCACGTGCTGGGCTGGAGGTTACTTGCATTACCACACCTTCGATGGACAGGTGTATGATTTCCACGGCACCTGCAACTACACGGTGGCCAAGACCTGCAGGGATGACTCCGTCCTGCCCTCCTTCCATGTCACAGCTAAGAGCGAGAATAGTGGAAACACACAGGTCTTCTACATTGAGTCGGTGACTGTCCAGGTGGATGGAGTCACTGTCACAGCAGCCAGGACTGAGGTCGGCTTTGTGGGGGTAAGTGCTGGGCATGGTCAGTACTTTGATAGGATACCTTGAAAACATTTACCCAAGGTGTTGCAGGGGGTAGAATTGTTTAAGTAGTAGATGGTGCTCTCCTCCTGAATTGGTGCTGTCCCTGAAGGCATGGCACTGTACTAGGGGGTGCTGTACTACGTTCAGATGTACAGGTATCCCAGTAGGGTGCTCTCTCCCCTTGGAGTCAGTGCTGACCCCAATTCCCATCATGGCAATACCAGGTGCTGTGTGTCATAGAATGGGGCAGGTGGCCAGCAGGGGGCACTGACCCAATTCCAAAGCTCTGTGCTTGGGGCTACCGTCAGCAACTGGGACGTGGGCGGTCAGACCTCCTGGCTAAAGCAGTGGCAGTCAGGGCTAGTAGGCAGATCTGGAGTCAGGAACCAGGAGTCAGAGACAAGGGTCAAAACTAGGGTGACCAGATGAAATGGACAAAATATCGGGACACATGGAAAAAAAAGGAGCGGTCAAAGCGACAATGGCCTGACCCGCGCATCGGTCAGGATGCGGGACAAAGAACTAAAAATAGGGACAGTCCTGATTTTATCGGGACATCTGTTCACCCTAGTCAAAACAACCTTCCGTCACTCCCCCACGCAGCCCCCTCCCCCTGCGGGAGCCGCTCCCCGACGGCTCTGTCCCATGCGGGCCGCTCCCCCACAGGAGCCGCTCCCTAACTCTGTCCCACGGCCCCTCCCCCACGGGAGCCGCTCCCCGACGGCTCTAACCAATGCAGCCCTCTTCCCCACGGGAGCTGCTCCTTGACAGCTCTAACTGATGCGCTAGGGTTGCCAGGCCTCCGGTTTTCAGTCTGAACACCTGGTCAAAAGGGACCCTGGCGGCTCTGGTCAGCACAGCTGACTGGACTGCTAAAAGTCTGGTTGGCCACAGAAGGGGCAGGCAGGCACCGTGCCCAGGTCAGCTCAGCTCCTGGGAAGCAGCTAGCATGTCTCTCCGGCTCCTACGTGGAGGGGCAGCCAGGGGGGGTTCCGCGCACTGCCCCTGCCTGCAGGCACTGCCCCGAGCACCAGCTCTGCAGCTCCCATTGGCCAGGAATCGTGGCCAATGGGAGCTGCAGGGTGCAGCACCTGTGGGTGGAGTCAGTGCATGGAGCCCCCTGCCTGCAGGCAGAGGCAGCACACAGAGACCTGGGACATGCCGCCACTTCCCAGGTGTCACACGGAATTCCTCCATCCCTGGGAAATGACAGGGCCGCCTGAGATCAGTGCCGCCCGGAGCCCACACCGTGAACTCCCTCCCACACCTCCAACCCCCTGCCCCAGCCCTGAGCCCCATCCCGCACCCAAACTCCCTCCTGGTACCCGTACCCCGCAACCCCTCCTGCATCCCAACCCCCTGCCCCATCCCTGAGCCCCCTCCTGCACCAAACTCCCTCCTGGTGCCCACACCCTGCACCCCCTCCCACACCCCAATCCCCTGCCCCAGCCTGGAGCCCAGTCCTGCACCCTGAACCCCTCATTTCTGACCCCACCCCAAAGCCTACACCCCAGACCAGAGCCCGGTGACCATTCCAGGCAGGGAGTCCCACACCCCAATCCCCTGCCTTCCAGACCGGAGCCCCCCCCACCCGCCAGACCCCCTGGCCCCACCCCCAGCTCAGAGCCACCTACTGCAGCCCAAACCCCTCATCCCTGGCCCCACCCCAGAATCCTCACCCCCAGCTGGAGCTCTCACCCCCTCTGCATCCCAACCCCCTTCTGCAGCCCTGAGCCCCTTCCCACACTCCAAACCCCTTGGCCCCAGCCTGGAGTCCGCTCCTACCCCCAAACCCCCAGCCCACAGCCTTCACCCGCTCCTGCACCCCAACCCCCTGCCCCAGCCCGATGAAAATGAGTCAGTGAGCAAGGATGGGAGAGAGCGAGCAACAGAGGGAGGGGGGATGGAGTGAGTGGGGGCGGGGCCTCTGAGAAGGAGTGGGGCCTCAGGGCAGGGAGCAGAGCAAACGGTGTTCAGTTTTCTGCAATTAGAAAGTTGGCAACCCTAGACATGGCCCTCTTTCCCCTGCAGGAGCCTCTCCCTAATGGCTCTAGGTGACATAGCTCCCTCCCTGTAGCCACTTCCTAATGGCTCTAACTGATGCGGCCCCCTTGCCCTCAAAATTCCAACTTTTGAACTGTTTGCTCTGTCGTGGTCACCATGCTGGTCCCAGGGTGTTAGAGAGACAAGGTGGGAGAGGTAATGTCTTTTATTGGACCAACTTCTGTTGGTGAAAGGGACAAGTCATCCAGCTACCCAGAGCTCTTCTTCAGGTCTGGGAAGGGTACTCAGGGCTGGTCTAGGCTAGAGAATTAGATCAACCCAGATGTGTCACTCAGAGGGCACATAGGCACCAAATTTTGGTTCCCAGGGGGGTGCCCCAACCCCTCTACACCCCTTTCCCCAGCCCCCACCCCTGTCCTTGCCTCTTCCTTCCCCCCTCTCCACCACTTTCCCCAAGCCCCTGTCCCCTCTGCACCCCTTTCCACCCCCTTGCTCCCTCCTCCCCTCCCACCCCAGCACCTCCTGCACACCACGGAACAGCTGATGGCACTGGGCAGGAGGCACTGGGAGGGAGGGGGAGAAACTGATCCACAGGGCTTCTAGAGGGTGCTCAGCCCCCACTATTTGTTTTTTATGTGTGCTCCAGCCCTATTCAGGGAGCGTGAAAAATCCATACTCCAAGCAATGTAATTAAGTCATCGTAAGGGCTTGTCTACACTTACAGAGCTGCACCAGTGCAGCTGCACAGCTGTAGCACCTAGTGAAGATGTTACCTAGGCCGACAGGACAGCTTCTCTTGTTGGCGTAGGTACTCCACGCAGTCCACACTACAGTGCTAGGTCAGTGCAAAGCAGTTCACCTCGACCAATAAGTGTCTCCAGTAAAATTTCACTCTCGAACATAACAGTCCCTGCTACATCGACTTAATAACTCCACCTCCATAAGAGGTTTAGAGTCAATGTCGATGTAGTTAGGTCGACGCCATGTCAATGTAGATACTGCGTGGATTACGTGGACTGTTACTGGCTTTCAGAAGCCATCCCACAATGCCCCACACTGACAGTGCAATCGGTACAAGTGCTCCTGGTGAGGTTGCATATTGCACAGACACAGGAGCAAAGAGTAGACATGCACAAGCGATGTAATCACTGAGGTGGCTTTATGCTGACGTAAATCAGGTCAACTTAATTTTGTAGTAGGAGATGTGGCCATGCCCATTTATTTCATACTTTTTAGTTAGCTCACCTCATGCTCAAATAAATTGGTTAGTCTCTAAGGTGCCACAAGTCCTCCTTTTCTTTTTATGAATACAGACTAACACGGCTGTTCCTCTGAAACCTTAATTTTGTAGTGTGGCCATGCTCTGACGGGTGGTACCTATGTCAACAGGTGATGCCTGCCTGTCAACATAGCGCTCCCTGCACCAGGGGATAGGTCAGTATAACTGTGTTCCTCAGGGGTGTGGATTTTCCACAGCTGCAGCGTTCCAAATGTAGACGAGCCCAGAGTGTCATAGCTAAATACAAGGTGGAAGAGATTGTTTAACATAAGTGGTTAAACCCACTGACATCATCGGACAAAAAGGGTGGGTTATTGAGTTAACAGATTGCTGTAATAATCTATAACTCCAGTGTCTTTATTAAAACCATGACTTTTACTATGCAACAAAGTTAAGAATTTAGGATCCCAGTCTCGACTTTTGAAAGTGTGGTTCCATTATTAAACAACTTTCAAAACATTGAAATCCTCCAAAAAGAATTACATTTCTCCACCCAGCTCTATTTAATCTGATGTTTTAAAGTAATTCTGGTTCAGATTTGGGTCAAGGTTCATTGAGAGGGGAGGGATAGCTCAGTGGTTTGAGCATTGGCCGGCTAAACAGAAGGTTGTGAGCTCAATCCTTGAGGGGGCCATTTAGAGATCTGGGGCAGAAATTGGGAATTGGTCCTGCTTTGAGCAGGGTGTTGGACTAGATGACCTCCTGAGGTCCCTTCCATCCCTGATATTCTATGATTCTATGAGAGATTTGGCTCCAGGTTGCAATACTTGCTAATCTGAGTAGGAGCCACTTTGCAAATGACAGACTAGTGAACTCAATTCTGACCTTTGCCCTTTCTGTCTCACCATGAAGCTGAACAACACCAGGGCCCACTTACCCATCTCCCTGAACAACGGGGCCCTTCGGCTCTATCAGAGCGGCACCTCCCTCATCCTCCGCACCGATTTCAACTTCAGAGTGTCCTATGACTGGAACAACCACCTGAGGATCACTGTTCCCAGGGTCTTCTTGGACAGCCTGTGCGGCCTGTGTGGCAACTATAATGGGGACCCCTCCGATGACTTCCGGACCTCAGAAGGGGACCTGGCTCCCAGTGTCGCCGCCCTGGGGAAAAGCTGGGCAGTGGAAGATGAGGATCAGTTTTGCTGGCACGATTGCATTGGAGGTTGCAGACCCTGTGCCGCCAGCATAGTCAGAAAGTACAAGGAAGAGGCCTCATGCGGCCTGATAGCCAAGGTCTCAGATGGGCCCTTCAGCCAGTGCCACTCCAAGGTGGATCCTACAGTCTACTTGGACAACTGCGTGTACGATCTGTGCCACAGCGACGGCTACAGGAAGGTCCTGTGTGAGGCCCTGAAGGCCTACGCGGATGCCTGCCAGCTGGAGGGGGTCAGGATTGGGGAATGGAGACAGCTGGCCAGATGCCGTGAGTACAGATTTGTATGCCAAGGTCTATGGTCTGCTGGTTAGACCGGGGAGCCTGGGGCTTCAGCACTCTTGAGTTCTAGCCCTGGTGTTGGGAGGGTGCGTGATCGAGTGGTTTGGGATTGAGCAGTGATTGGGAAATCAGGACTCTGGGTTCTGTTGTACCCACAGTATTTGTTTGTCCTTGGAATTGCTAAGGTGCCTGTCACTTGGAGTATCTAATGTCCACTGATAACACATGGATGATTGGGGTAAAATGATGCCAGTTTTTGAGTCACTCTTCCTACCATGAACCTGATCCTGTAAGGTGCTAATCACCTCCGGCAGTGTGCTGAGCACCCTAACCTCCTGTTCAGGTCACTGGGATTTGAGGGCTCTCAGATCCCACAAGATACATTCCCCTCTGTCTATTTTAAATACTGCTTTTGCATGAAGAGAAACTGGCTGCTAAATCTGTGGGTCCTTCACTCCCCAGCCATGGAGTGCCCCCTGGAGAACAGCCAGTACCAGCTCTGTGGAACAGCCTGCCCAGCCACGTGTGTGGACCAGTCAGCCCCCAGCAGCTGCCAAGACCACCTGCGTGGAAAGCTGCCAGTGCAAGGATGGTTTTGTGCTGAGCCAGGGCAAATGCATCCCCAAGGGCAGCTGTGGGTGCCAGTTTGAGGGGCGTCCCTATGCCCCCAATGAGAGTTTCTGGGTCGATGAGGCATGTGGGACACGGTGCATGTGCGATGCAGCCACTGGACAAGTTGAATGCGTGACCACTACATGCAAACACTCAGAGAGGTGCGGGCTAGTGAACGGCGTACGGGGCTGTTACCCCTCCAGCTATGCCACCTGCTCTGTGACAAGGAATCTGCACTACACCACCTTTGATGGACAGAGATACGACTTCAAAGGCACTTGCCAGTACCAGCTCACAGCCCTGTGCAAGAAGGCAGAGGGACTGGTGGACTTTGAAGTCAACTTCCAGGAGAAACAATACTACTCCTGTACAGATCAAGGTGTATCAGACCAACCTCAGGATCAGCAATCAATTCCCTGGGAAAGTCCTGGTGAGTTGCTCAAATTGTCTCTAATCTCTCTAAAACATTTGTGGAAAGTCACCTGCTGTGATCCAGAAAAGTTGCAGACAGTGCATGGAAGGATTTTGAAATATAGGGTGAATTGTAACCAACAGGGAGCCAATGGAGATATTTAAGGATTGGGGTGATGTGGTTACACTTTGGATGTGTGAGAAGGTGTCTGAATCATACAATCCTAGGGCTGGAAAGTACCTTGAGAGGTCATCTAGTCAAGTCCCCTGCACTCATGGCAAGATTAAGTGTTACTTAGACCATCCCTGACAGATGTTTGTCTAACCTGCTCTTAAAAATCTCCAATGATGGAGATTCCACAACCTCCCTAGGCAATTTATTCCAGTGATTAACTACCCTGGCAGTAAGGAAGTTTTTCTTAATGTCCAACCTAAACCACCCTTGCTGCAGTTTAAGCCCATTGCTTTTTATCCTGTCCTCAGAGATTAAAGAGAACAATTTTCACCCTCCTCCTTGTAACAACCTTTTATATACTTGAAAATTGTCATCATGTCCCCTCTCAGTCTTCTCTTCTTCAGACTAAACAAACCCAATTTTTCAATCTTCCCTCACAGGTCAGGTTTTCTAGACCTTTAATCATGTTTGTTGCTCTTCTCTGGACTTTCTCCAATTTGACCACATCTTTCCTGAAATGTGGCACCCAGAACTGGACAAAATACTCCAACTGAGTCCTAATCAGCACAGAGAAGAGCAGAAGAATTATTTCTTGTGCCTTGCTTACAACACTCCTGATAATACATCCCAGAGTGATGTTTGCTTTTTTTGCAGCAGTGTTACACTGTTCAGTCATATTTAGCTTGTGATCCATTTTGACCCCCAAATCCCTTTGTACAGTACTCCTTCCTAGGCAGTCATTTCCCATTTTCTATGTGTGCAACTGATTGTTCTTTCCTAGATGGAGCACTTTGCATTTGTTACTCCTGGGGAAATTCTGCACATCTGCAGATGTGCAGAATTTTCATCTTAGTACTAACACATATATTTTAGTACTTTTCCCACAGTGAATATTGTTAAATACATTCAAAATTGCCAGTTCAGTGCAGAAGTGCTGCACTTCTGCCTTTTGCCCACCAGAGGATGCTGTGGCACCAAAACAAATGTATTTTATGCAGGAAAATACTAAATTCTAAGCCTAGTGCTTCAGAATTGTCCCATGAGCAGCACCTTGCCCGTGGAGCCAATTTAGGACAGAGTGGGGGCACACAGGGCTGCTGGGGCAGGTCACAGACTGGGGTTCAGAATGTGGGGGAGGGGGAGGGATATCTCAGTGTCTTGAGCATTGGTCTGCTAAACCCATGGTCATGAGTTCAATCCTTGAGGGGGCCATTTAGGGATCTGGGGCAAAAATTGGGGATTGGTCCTGCTTTGAGCAGGGGGTTGGACTAGATGACCTCCTGAGGTCCCTTCCAACCCTGATATTCTATGATTCTATGACGTGTGGGGGAGACAGACTGGAGCATGGGCTCAGGAGCTAGTTGAGTGACAGTGTTGAGCCTGGGGTTGTGGGAGGGGGGCTGCAGAGACCCATGGGGATGAGGAGTGTGGGGACAGGGGAAGACGTGCCTGACTGAATGGGAGAGGCTTGGGATCATCCAGGGTCTTCATGGGGGAGGCTTCCCAGCAATCTCACCCCCCACAAAGAAAAACCTCCCACTAACACCCTCCCAGTTCACTCCTAGGCTCCTTCTCTCTCCCTGAGGTCCTCCGTTACCCCTGACTCCCCCAAGCCTTTGCATTGCTTCTGACAGGTGCAGAAAATACAGTTCTGTATTGTAATTTAAATGAATTACACAAAGTTCTCTATGAATATGCCTAGTAAGGAATCTATTTGTGAAAAAACAATTTACCAGAATCTTTTTTTTTGGTCTGTATTGCTATAGACATACTTACTGTCAGATATTTTTAAATAAATTACCAAAATAATTGACAGGTTTCAGAGTAGCAGCCGTGTTAGTCTGTATTCGCAAAAAGAAAAGGAGGACTTGTGGCACCTTAGAGACTAACAAATTTATTTGAGCATAAGCTTTCGTGAGCTACAGCTCACTTCAAATAAATTTGTTAGTCTCTAAGGTGCCACAAGTACACCTTTTCTTTTTGCAAAATAATTGAAACTGGCATGATTATATTGTATTATTTTGACAAATAAGATATGCAAAATTTTGCAGAATTTTCAACCATTGTGTGCAGAATTTTTAATTTTTTGGTGCACAGAATTCTCCCAGGAGTAATTTGTCCTCATTGAATTTCATCCTATTTACTTCAATCCATTTCTGCAGTTTGTCCAGATCATTTTGAATTTTAATCCTATCCTCCAAAGCACTTTCAATCCCTTCCAGCTTGGTATTGTCCACAAACTTTATAAGTGTACGTTCTATGCCATTATCTAAACCACTCGTGAAGATATTGAGTAGAACCAGACCCAAAACTGATCCTTGCAGGATCTCCCTTGATATGCCCTTCCAGCTTGACTGTGATCCACTGATAACTATTCTCTGGGAACGGTTTTCCAATCAGTTATGCACCCACCTTATAGTAGCTCAATCTAGGCTGTATTTCCCTAGTTTTTTTTATGAGAAGGTCATGTGAGACAGTATCAAAAGCCTTACTAAATTCAAGATATACCACATCTACCTCTTCCTTCCCATCCACAAGTGTCCACACTTTCACAGAGTGCTCTCATCCCCAATGGGGCACCTCCTTGTGGCTGCAACTTGGAATTAGCTCTGCCTTTCTGAAGCCCCTTCCTGTGAGTGCTCACTCTGTGACACTCTCTCTCTACCCAGACACGATGGCTCTGTCCTTGTGGCTTGGCCCTCCAGCTAGGTCACGGTAGTTTCTCCTTTCTGGGAGGTTTGTGTACCAAGTGTCACCAACTGTCCCAGGCAGTCTTCCAATTCACTGCCCCTCAATGGCGCCACATCCCCAGTGGCTGGTAGGGGAACGTGGGCTCACCCTCATCTTTGGGTTCCAGCCCAGGGACCCTAAAACCAGCAGCTAAAGTCTACCCTGTCCCGTGCCTTGTTTCTGTTTCCTTGGATTGCTTCGTACATTGCCACTATCAGTCTCCTTCTCTACCCTTCTCCGGGTATACCCTTCCCTCCTGGCCAAGTCCCCTCTCTCCCTAGCCTCAGAGAGTGACTGAAGACCTCCTCCTTGCAGCCCCCTTCTGCCCTCAGCTACCTTGTTAGTACCAGCCCACCTGTTCCTGTTCAGGTGAGCTTCAGCCTTTAGTTAGTTCTCATTGCTCCCTGGCTCCTCCTCCAGGTACATCTTAGATGGTTAATTGGCCTGTCTAGCCACCTTAACCCTTTCAAGGGCAGGTGTGGGGTGAGCATTCCTTCACAAAAAGAAAAGGAGTACTTGTGGCACCTTAGAGACTAACCAATTTATTTGAGCATAAGCTTTCGTGAGCTACAGCTCACTTCATCGGATGCATACTGTGGAAAGTTTAGAAGATCTTATTATATACACATAAAGCATGAAAAAAATACCTCCTCCCACCTCACTCTCCTGCTGGTAATAGCTTATCTAAAGTGATCACTCTCCTTACATTGTGTATGATAATCAAGGTGGGCCATTTCCAGCACAAATCCAGGGTTTAACAAGAACATCTGACGAGGGGGGTAGGAAAAAACAAGGGGAAATAGGCTACCTTGCATAATGACTAAGCCACTCCCTGTCTCTATTCAAGCCTAAGTTAATTGTATCCAATTTGCAAATGAATTCCAATTCAGCAGTTTCTCGGAAGTCTGGATTTGAAGTTTTTTTGTTGTAAAATAGCGACTTTCATGTCTGTAATCGCGTGACCAGAGAGATTGAAGTGTTCTCCGACTGCTTTATGAATGTTATAATTCTTGACATCTGGCTTGCCAACTGTGCCCACATATCTATTCATGGGACACCACCACAGGGCCTAATAACATCAGCCACACTATCAGAGGCTCGTTCACCTGCACATCCACCAATGTGATATATGCCATCATGTGCCAGCAATGCCCCTCTGCCATTTACATTGGTCAAACTGGACAGTCTCTACGTAAAAGAATAAATGGACACAAATCAGATGTCAAGAATTATAACATTCAAAAACCAGTTGGAGAACACTTCAATCTCTCTGGTCACGCGATTACAGACACGAAAGTCGCTATTTTACAACAAAAAAACTTCAAATCCAGACTCCGGCGAGAAACTGCTGAATTGGAATTCATTTGCAAATTGGATACAATTAACTTAGGTTTGAATAGAGACTGGGAGTCATTATGCAAGGTAGCCTATTTCCCCTTGTTTTTCCTACCCCCCCTCATCAGATGTTCTTGTTAAACCCTGGATTTGTGGCCCACCTTGATTATCATACACAATGTAAGGAGAGTGGTCACTTTGGATAAGCTATTACCAGCAGGAGAGTGAGTTTGTGTGTGTGGGGGGGTGTGTGTGAGAAAACCTGGATTTGTGCTGGAAATGGCCCAACTTGATTATCATACACATTGTAAGGAGAGTGATCACTTTAGACAAGCTATTACCAGCAGGAGAGTGGGGTGGGAGGAGATATTTTTTTCATGCTTTGTGTGTATATAATAAGATCTTCTAAACTTTCCACAGTATGCATCCGATGAAGTGAGCTGTAGCTCACGAAAGCTTATGCTCAAATAAATTGGTTAGGTGCCACAAGTACTCCTTTTCTTTTTGCGAATACAGACTAACACGGCTGTTACTCTGAAACCACTCCTTCACAGTGTCAATAGTATCCAGCAGAGGTGTGAACCTGGAGCACTGGGGGACAGAGAGGAGGGAACTGCAATAGCTAATGCCAGGGGGAATACAAGTCTGGTTAGAGCTTGGATTCAGGCAAGCTGTAGGGAAGGAAGCAGGCTGGACTGGATGAAGATTTGAACAGAGGTGGATTATTGTTGTAATCATGGGCCAGAGCTCTGTGCTGGGGTGAGAGGTTCTACCACAGGCGAGCGATGTTTCACATCTCATGTGTCTTGCTTTAACAGATGAACAGTTTTCTGATGAATCTTCCCTTCAACCTCATTGATAAGAAAATCACTGTGTATAGAAAGGGCTGGGCCACAGTGATCCAGGCAGACTTTGGTCTCACCGTTACCTATGCCGGGTGGTCAGGACGCACCACAGTCACTCTGCCAGTTACCTACGCAGGAGCCGTGTGTGGTCTGTGTGGCAACTTCAACACTGACAGGGACGATGACATGCTCATGAGGGATGGCACGCTGGCACCAAACCCCATCAGCTTTGGCCAGAGCTGGAAGGTGGGCGACCTCCCAGGATGCTCTGCAGTAACGATACCCCCATGTGCAAGTGTAGAGGCTATTGAAAAACAACAACGAGGTAGCAGAGGGCAGTGTGGGATCATCCTCCACAAGAGTGGCCCTTTCAGAGGATGTCACAGCAAAGTGGACCCCCATGGATACTTCGTAGACTGTGTGTATGGCTATTGCATCCTCAGTGGGTGGGAGAGTAACGTCTGCCAGGCCCTTGCTGGCTATTCCGAGGCATGTCAGGAAGCTGGAGCTGTGGTGCATCCCTGGAGGACGACGAAATTCTGCTGTGAGTCCCCCGTGCTCATTGCTGCCCCTATGGGGATCCCTGTTCCAAGTTGGCTGGTAGATGTTGGCTTAAATGCTGAGCTCATCAAGTGATGTAGAACATTTCTTTATGGTCACAGGAGCCCAAAGTATGGGCACAGCACAGGCATGGGCCCTAGGAGCTGCCCCCTCACCACGCCCCTATCCACGTGCTGCACCCCAGGCCAGAGAGGCGCTGTCCAGAGATAGAATCATAGAAGATCAGGGTTGGAAGAGACCTCAGGAGGTCATCTAGTCCAACCCCCTGCTCAAAGCAGGACCAACCCCAACTAAATCATCCCAGCCAGGGCTTTGTCAAGCTGGGCCTTAAAAACCTCTAAGGATGGAGATTCCACCCCCTCCCTAGGGAACCCAGTCCAGTGCTTCACCACCCTCCTAGTGAAATAATGTTTGCTAATATCCAACCTGTACCTCCCGCACTGCAACTTGAGACCTTGTTCTGTCATCTGCCACCACTGAGAACAGTCTAGCTCCATCCTCTTTGAAACCCCCCTTCAGGTAGTTGAGGGCTGCTATCAAATCCCCCCCTAACTCTTCTCTTCTGCAGACTAAACAAGCTCAGTTCCCTCAGCCTCTTCTCATAAGTCATGTGCCCAGCGTCCTAATCATTTTAGTTCCGCTGAACTTGCTCCAATTTGTCCACATCTTCTCTGAAGTGGGGGGCCCAAACTGGACGCAATACTCCAGATGTGGCCTCACCAGTGCCAAATACAGGGGAATAATCACTTCCCTCGATCTGCTGGCAATGCTTCTACTAATGCAGCCCTGTATGCCGTTAGTCTTCTTGGCAACAAGCGCACACTGCTTACTCATATCCAGCTTCTCATCTACTGTAATCCCCAGGTCCTTTTCTGCAGAACTGCTGCTTAACCAGTCGGTCCACCCTGTAACAGTGCATGGGATTCGTCCGTCCTAAGTGCAGGACTCTGCACTTGTCCTTGTTGGACCTCATCAGATTTCTTTTGGCCCAATCCTCCAATTTGTCTAGGTCACTCTGGATCCTTTCCCTACCCTCCAGCGTATCTATCTCTCCGCACAGCTTAGTGTCATCTGCGAACTTGCTGAGGGTGCAATTCATCCCATCATCCATATCATTATTAAAGATGTTGTACAAAACTGGCCCCAGGACTGACCCCTGGGGCACTCAGCTTGATGCTGGCTGCCAACTAGACATGGAGCCATTGATCACTACCTGTTAAGCCGAACAATCTAGCCAGCTTTCTATCCACCTTATCGTCCATTCAGCCAATCCATACTTTTTTTAACTTCCTTGCAAGACTACTGTGGGAGACCGTATCAAAAGCTTTGCTAAAGATGTAGTGGTGCCCTTCATAGCCCATCTAGTCCTTGGTTTATCTGCTGATACTGGGATATAATTAGAGCTGGGACATGGTGGTGACTCACTAATTGAGATGTCTGTCCACTAGGAACTGGTCTGGGAACCCACCAACTCATCTCCCATAAACCGTCATCTGGGAATGAGTTTTAGGCACTACTGACCTGTATTGAAAACAAAAATCTAGTGGTGAAAAGGTCTGCAGAACACTCCCAGTCCATGGGCCCTCCACTCCCTACACCTTGACCTTGGTCCAAATTGGAAGCCTAGCTTTAGGAAAGAGATTACCTGTATCCCACTGCCTGATTTGTTTGGAACAACCAGTTAACCAGACCTGAACGTGGATTACAGGTGGTGCCTTTTATTATTTAACCAAACCAAGGAAATAGAAAATTAGGAGCTTAAATGAAATTGCATCTTCTAGTAACGTTCCTTTTTACACATTACTAACACACGATGTGAGCTAACTCTTTGTTCTAATTACAGCTCCGTCCTGTCCCCTGAACAGTCACTATGAATTCTGCAGCAGCAGCTGCGATCTGACATGCAGCAACCTCTATGCCCCGGTGCAATGCACGACCCAGTGTAAGGAAGGCTGCATGTGTGACAAGGGCTTTGTTCTCAGTGGCGAGCTCTGCATCCCCATTACCCAGTGCGGATGCCTCCACAGGGGATTTTACTACCAGGCCGGGGAGACCTTCCACCCGAGCGGTTCATGCGAGGAGCAGTGCGTGTGTCTGGCTGGTGGGGAAGTTGTGTGTAAGGCATTCTCCTGCAGCACTGGTGAGCAATGCAGGGTGGTGGACGGCATCCAGAAATGCCACCCATTTGGATCTGCGACCTGTTCTGCCTCTGGCCATCCCCACTACCTCTCTTTCGACGGGGTCCCCTTTGACTTCCAAGGCACATGCACCTACATCCTGGCCAAGACCTGCACCGATGCCAGTCACCTTACACCATTCACTATCAGTGTAGAGAAAGAAGACTGGGGCAGTGGGAACGTCTCCATGGCCAAGCTGGTGTCCATCCAGGTGTATGGGATCACACTCACCCTGCTGCAGAGCAAACAGGGGCTCATCATGGTAAGTCCTTCTCCAGATCTTCATTTAGATTGTTCTGAGTGTCCCTTTGTGGCCCAAGGTTTCTGCATGTGGCCTGCCTCCGCTTCCCCTCTTGGACTCCTCAACAACTCACAAAAGGCTTTTACAAATCCAATAGCAACAGTCCTCCCAAGGGTCTCATTCAAATAGGAGTTTTCACATACAGCCATTCACTTCCTTATCTGGCCATTCCCAGGCATTGCCTGACTGCCGTCTCACTCCCCTACTTTCAGGTTTCTCTGTGGGAGCCTACTCACTGCCAGCAGCCTCTCTATTCCCCTCTTTCTCTCTGACAACTCTCTCTGCTGGACCAGGAGCCTGGCTTCTTCCTGCTTCTCTTAAATGGGATGTATATGATTCCTGCTCAGATGTGCCTACTTAGTAATAAGGGTTGGCTGGCCCCAGGCCCACTGAGGGGCAGGACACCAGGCTCATCCACATGGTATTTAAGCCCCTCCCAGAAACACATTAAGCAACGTGATTAACATCTACCACATGTTTGTTCTCTCCTCCTCTCCCCAGGAAAGATGTGTGTGCAGTGGGGTGTTTTGCTGTGGATTTTTTTATAATGATAAATGTATACGCATGTTGCCATATATATATGTTGGAGAAAGGTGGTCTAAGAACGTACCTTGCACTTGGAAAGGAGGGTGGCCAGGTTAGTGAGGGTCCTTACTTCCTGAGACGGTTCATTCCCCAGACTTGGACCAAACTCCTAATAAAGCTTTATCTCTGGCAGAGACAAAGGTTATCCTTATTGATGTGATTTCCATTGTGCCAATGGAAGAAAGTTGTCAACCACAGTCTTCAACCTGGGGGTTTAATTCATCTTTTAGATAGCCTGGTCCCAGGCCATTGAGCGCCTTGGGATAAGGACTGAGAACTTGAACTGGATTCCTTGTTCTATGGGAAGCCAGGGGAGGGAGTGGAGGACAGGTTTAATGTGTACAGCAGCCAGTGTTGCTGAGGAGGCATGCTGCAGAGTTGTGTAGCACTTGAATATTCCTAAGTGCTGAATGCTTCATGCCCGGGTATACCACCTTGCCATATAGTCCAGCAGGGAAGCGACAAAGCCGTGAATGGTTGAAGCCAGGTCATCTTCTGTCAGAATGGTATGGAGTCTCCTACCCAGCTAGAAATGGTAGAAAGTGCTACTCAGGGATGCTGCTATGTCAAAGTTTCTCTTGGGTGAGATGAGCATCCTCCAGCTCAGCTCCATCTTTGCCTCCCTTGTTGGTTATACCCCTATTTATGAGTATTAATTATTTGGTGAACCCCATCCACATACCTCACATTTTGCAAACATGGGGTAAAATTCCTCCCCATTATATCTCCGTTGGCCTCTGTGTTGAAGAATCTGTCCCATGGCATAGTGCCCTGTGAAGCCTGCAGTCTAATTTGGGGCAAATTGAACACAATGCATAGGAAATTGTTTGAGATAGGAGAGGGAGGGGAAGGAAGGAGGAGTCACCAGGGAAGTGGGTTTTCAGGGGCCGAGGGGGGGAGATGGAGAAGAAGTAGGAGACTGTTCTGAGTCCAGGAGTTGGCATGAGAAGGAGCAGGCCAAACATGGGTTGAGGAGTTGGAGAAGATAGAGAGAGACGATCAGGAGGGAGGGAGGTGCCTGGGAGATGAGATCAGAAATGTAGGCCGGGAGACAATGTCAAGAGCTTGGAAGGTGAGGACAAACCATTGCAAAGTGAAATCGGGAGTCATGAGTCATTCTGGATTTAACCCATGGCGTCAGTGAGAACTGAATCTCAAAACTTGTCCATAGCCCCTACGCACGATGCAGTGTCCATCCTACCTGCTCATAGGGGAATGTGCTGTCTTTTCCAGGTGGACGGGGTATCCCACAATCTCCCCGTGATAATGGTCAATGGGCAGCTCCGAGCATATCAACACGGCACTAATGTCCTGGTGCAAACTGACTTTGGCCTCACTGTGAGCTACGACCTGGTTTACCAGGCCAGAGTCACCATCCCAGGGACCTACCAGGGCCAGACGTGTGGCCTGTGCGGGAACTACAATGGAGAGCAGGACGAGGAGTTCCTGCTCCCCAGTGGCAGGAGAGTCCCTGATGTGGCAGCATTTGGCTCTGCTTGGGAAGTCGAGATCCCAGGAGCATCCTGTACAGACAGATGTGCTGGAAACAGCTGTCCAGTTTGCGAAGAGAAGAAGAAGGACGTCTTCAAAGGGCGCAACTACTGTGAGCTGCTCACAGACCCTGACGGCCCCTTCGCGGCCTGCCACGGCGCGGTCAGCCCCAGTGTGTATCAGAGCAACTGTCTGTACGATGTGTGCCTGGGAAACGGGGATGCACAGGTCCTGTGCCAGAGCATCCACAGCTACGTGACAGCCTGCCAAGAGGCGAAGGTCACCATCCAGCCCTGGAGGAGCGCCTCCTTCTGCGGTAAATGCACCCACAGTGTAGGAGCTCTGGGACGCACTGGGGAATGGAGGCGGTCAGTGTTACTGAGAATCTTGTTCCAGGCCTCTGGGCTTCTTCTGGAAGTCTTCTGGGTGGGAGCCAACAATCTCACGTTCCCTTAGAAAGGTGCCCTGTTCCTCTCCTCCCTGTCTTGCTGTCCTCTCCTTCATGTCAGTCCCTCTAGGCTGTGGTGTGAGATCTTTCCATCCATCCTTTATTTCTCTCTCTATTTAAGCTGTGAGCTGCCCTGTTAACAGCCACTACGAGGTCTGCGCCGACCTCTGTACCACCACCTGCTCTGGAGGCATCATGGACTGCCCGGAGACCTGTGCTGAAGGCTGCCAGTGTGACGAGGGCTTCCTCTTCGATGGCCAGGGCTGTGTGACTCCAGAGAGCTGTGGGTGCTTTGAGCATGGGAGATATTACAAGGTACCACCTCAAGCAGTCTGGGTCTGATCTAAATTTTTTTCTCACATATCTTAATCTCTACACTAGACAGGAATAGGGTTTGCTATAGTGGATCAGAGTATTGGCCTATCCGGCCTGGCATCCCTGCTCTGTTAATGCCCAAAGCACCAAGAAAAGCAAGAAAATTTGATTCCCTTTGTCTGTTGTGGGGAAACTGAGGCACAGAGAGGGGCTGCTCATTAGACAGCCTCTCTTTTTAATGTTAAGAGAAATAATATTAGGAAACAATAGTTTTTCACACACCTTACCACACAGCTCTGAGTTTAGCACTGCCAGAAATTATTATAAATAACCATTTCCAGTTATATTTCCAGTCAGCCTCACCTCAGTCCCCGGAAAAATCATGGAGCAGGTCCTCAAGGATTCAATTTTGAAGCACTTAGAGGAGAGGAAAGTGATCAGGAACAGTCAGCATGGATTCACCAAGGGCAAGTCATGCCTGGCTAACCTAATTGCCTTCTATGATGAGCTAACTGGCTCTGTGGATAAGGGGAAAACAGTGGACACGTTCTTCCTTGACTTTAGCCAAGCTTTTGATACGGTCTCCCAGAGTAGTCTTGCCAGCAAGTTAAAGAAGTATGGGCTGGATGAATGGACAATGAGGTGGATAGAAAGCTGGCTAGATCATCAGGCTCAAAACCTTTGAGATTTTTAAGGTCAGGCTTGACAAAGTCCTGACTGGGATGATTTAGTTGGGGATTAGGTCCTGCTTTGAGCAGGGGGTTGGACTAGATGACCTCCTGAGGTCCCTTCCAACTCTGATGTTCTATCATTCTATGATTGCGTTATTTCTTCCTTCCCAAACATCCCGTCAGCCCAGTGAGACAGTCCTGAGAAATGAGTGCCAGCAAAACTGCACCTGCGTTCCTGCCCGAGGGGTGACTTGCAAAGCTCACAGCTGCACCAGTGGAGAAACATGCCAGATCAGAGACGGCGTCATGGACTGCATCGGCCAAGGTAAAGGAGAGTCACTGATTGAAACATGACCCGAGGGGTTATTGCACAAGGGGTGAGTAAAGTCATTTCAATTATGTCTCCTCACCCTTCTCACTCACTCTCTCTCTCCCCTTTTATTTAGCCTGGAACCCTGACCCGTAATATTACAGAATTTTGACTTGAAAGATGGAAACAGTTGTTGGAAACACTCGTCTCTGCTGCATCCATCTTCTGATGTGCACAGCAGAGCCAAGTGGGCAGCTGTCAGGGAGCTGATCACACTCGTAGGTCTTCTCCCTGGCTGTAGCCTAGGAGCTGCTCTAAATTGGAGCCCACTGGCTGTGGGGGCCATCAGTCAGCTGGGCACTGTCAGTGTCCATCACATCCCAGCCACAATCCTTTGCCTGATCGATGCCGGCATCATGCCCAAAGGTGTTGAACCACCTCTGCCGCGCATTGCGGGGAAGGAGACACAGGATCTGGTTTTGCTGTTGTCACACACATGCAGAGATTTCCTCAGCATGGGACTCGTGGGAGGTTTGTGAATGATGCAAAGGAAGTGTGTATGGGGATAGAGGAAGAGAGACAGAGGAGTGCATGGTGATAGATTGATATAACAATGCGTGTCGGGGGAGAGATAGACAGATGTTACTGATTAGTCTGCTGTTTGTCTTTCTATTGTCTTTCCCCACTAGATATTCCAAAGCCATCGTGCAGTGTGGTCCGCTGTAGGGAAGGAACTATTTGCAAGATGATAAATGAGCAGCCAAAGTGTGTGCCAGTCTCTCGGGGCACGTGCAGGGCCGGGGGATACTTTCATTACCGCACCTTCGATGGCCGGGCGTATGATTTCCATGGCAACTGCACCTACACGGTGGTCAAGACCTGCAGGGATGCCTCCGGCCTGCCCTCCTTCCATGTCATGGCCAAGAATGAGAACAGTGGGAACACACAGGTTTTCTACGTTGGGTTGGTGACTGTCCAGGTGGATGGAGTCACTGTCACAGCAGCCAGGGCTGAAGCCGGCTTTGTGTGGGTAAGTGCTGGGCGCGCAGGTGTGATTCTTTTACTTTTATATATATATATATATATATATATATATATATATATATATATATAAATAAAATTCTTCTTCTAAGTACCTGATTGATTTCAGTGTCCTGAAGTCAAGGGATCGGGTCTGTGCTCACATTACTAAGGCAACTGGTTGGTATTTATTTCTCAGTCCTCCCCAGGAAAGCGGGTGAAGGGGCTTGGGGGGATATTTTGGGGGGATAGGGATTCCAAGTGACCCTTTCCTGACTTTTTGGGGAAATCACTTGGTGGTGGCAGCAATACCATCCAAGGACCAGGAAAGGAATTTGTGCCTTTGGGAAGTTTTAACCTAAGGTGGTAGCATATAAGCTTAGAGGGTCTTTCATGCGGGTCCCCACATCTGTATCCCAGAGTTCAGAGAGGGGAGGGAACCCTGACAGGGCCAAATCACAATTTCCAGTGAATCTGGACACAAACTTTATCCAATTTTGGATTAAAACATCACATTAGATAGAGCTGGCCTGAGAAAGCTAATTCCACTGGCAGAAAGATTTCAATATTTTGAAAATTAGCTTAATTCCAATATGGAACGAAACTCATAAATTACTACATTTTCTATGAAGACGAATGGAGCCCCAGCTCCAGGTCAGTCCGCCCGGCGGGCTGCCGAGGAGCTGGTGACAGGAAAAAGAGACAGGTTTTGAAATTGGCCTTGTTTCCATCAGAACTCCTTGGAAAAGGAACAATCTTCTCAAACCCCTTTTGATGTTGATGAATTGGAAAATACTAGTGAAAAACTATATCAGAGTAGAGCTCCGTAGATAAGTGACAGACCTGTGCACTCGATTGTGACCTTTGCCCTTTCTTTCTCACTGCAAAGGTGAATAACACCAGGGCCCACTTACCCATCTCCCTGAACAATGGGACCCTTCGGCTCTATCAGAGCGGCACCTCCCTCGTCCTCCGCACCGACTTCAACCTCAGCATGTCCTATGACTGGAACAACCACGTGAGGGTCACCGTCCCTAATGACTTCTCCGACAGCCTGTGCGGCCTGTGTGGCAACTATAATGGGGACCCCTCCGATGACTTCGAGACCCCAGAGGGGGACCTGGCTCCCAGTGTCGCCGCCCTGGGGAAAAGCTGGGCAGTGGAAGATGAGGATCAGTTTTGCTGGCACGATTGCATTGGAGGTTGCAGGCCCTGTGCCGCCAGCATAGTCAGAAAGTACAAGGAAGAGGCCTCGTGTGGCCTGATAACCAAGGTCTCAGATGGGCCCTTCAGCCAGTGCCACACCAAGGTGGATCCTACAGTCTACTTGGACAACTGCGTGTACGATCTGTGCCACAGCGACGGCTACAGGAAGGTCCTGTGTGAGGCCCTGAAGGCCTACGCGGATGCCTGCCAGCTGGAGGGGATCAGGATTGGGGAATGGAGACAGTTGGCCAGATGCCGTGAGTACAGATTTGTATGCCAAGGTCTATGGTCTGCTGGTTAGACCGGGAAGCCTGGGTTCTCATCACTCTTGAGTTCTAGCCCTGGTGTTGGGAGGGGGCGTGATCGAGTGGTTTGGGATTGAGCAGTGATTGGGAAATCAGGACTCTGGGTTCTGTTGTACCCACAGTACTTGTTTGTCCTTGGAATTGCTAAGGTGCCTGTCACTTGGAGTATCTAACGTCCACTGATTACACATGGGAGCGGTGGTAAAATGGTGACAGTTTAAGTCACTGATAAAATCATAGATTCTAAGCCAGTGGTTCTCAACCTATTTCCCATTGTGGGCCGCATATGCAGCTCTCTAGGTGTTATATGTGCTGCATCCACACACTATATATACTACCTGTATGGCCTAGAGGATGTCACATGGGCCACAGCGACCTGTGGACCTTGAGTTGAGAACCACTGCTCTAAGGTCCGAAGGGGCCATCATGTTAATCTAGTCTGACCTCTTGCACGTTGCAGCCCAGAGAACCTCGCCCACCCACTCCTGTAACCGACCCCTAACCTCTGGCTGAGTGACGGATGTCCTCAAATCTTGATTTAAAGACTTCAAGTTACAGAATCTGCCATTTACACTGGTTTAAATCACCAAGTGACCTGTGGCTCAAGATGCAGCAGAAGGCAAATAATCCCTAGGGTCTCTGCAATCTGACTGGGGGTGGAAATTCCTTCCTGACCTCAAATATGGCAATCAGCTGGACCCTGATCATGGTGGGTGAGATACCTGGGAAAGAATTGTCTGTTGTAACTCAGAACCCTGCCCATCTAGTGTCCCATCACTGGCTGTTGGAGACATTGCTGCTACCACTCACAGATCAGCTACATGCCATTGTGGGCAGTCTCATCACACCATCGCTCCATAAACTTATCAAGCTCAGTCTGGAAGCCAGTAAGGTGTTTTGCCCTTATTGCTCCCCTTGGAATGCTGTTCTAGAACTTCACTCCTGTGATGGGTATCATCTAATTTCAAGGCTAAACTTGTTGATGACCAGTTGATGTCCATTTCTTTTTGTGTCAACATTGGTGCTTAATTTAAGTAACTCCTCTCCCTCTCTGGTGTTTATCCCTCTTATGTATTTATAGAGAGCAATCATATCTCCCTTCAGCCTTCTTTTGGTTAGGCTAAACAAGCCAAGCTCTTTGAGTCTTGAATCATAAGGTAGGTTTTCCATTCCTTGGATCATCCTAGTCGCCCTTCTCTGCATGTGTTCTGGTTTGTATTAATTTTTCTTAAACATGGGAGACCAGAATGGCACACAGTATTCCAGATGAGGTCTCACCGGTGCCTTGTATAATGGTACTAACACTTCCCTGTCGCTACTGACAATACCTCTCCTGATGCATCCTAGGACTGCATTAGCCTTTTTTTCCCCACAGCTGCATCACATTGGTGGCTCTTAGCCATCCTGTGATCAACCAATACACCCAGGTCTTTCTCCTCTTCTGTCACTTCCAACTGATAGATCCCCAGCTTAGAAGAAAAATTCTTGGTGTTAGTTCCTAAATGCATGACCGTGCACTTTGCACTATTAAATTTCATCCCATTTCTATTACTCCAGTTTTCAAGGTCATCCAGATCTTCTCGTATGATATACCGCTCCTCCTCCGTATTGGTAATACCTCCCAACTCTGTGTCATCTGCAAATTTTGTTAGCACACTCCTACTTTTTGTGCCAATGGAACTAATAAAAATGTTAAATAAGATTGATCCCAAGACCAATCCCTGAGGATTAACCTTCCTCCAGCCTGACAATTCACTTTTCAGTATGGCCTGTTGTAGTCTCTCCTTTAACCAGTTGCTTATCCACCTTAGAATTCTCATATTAATCCCTATCTTCTCCAATTTAAGTAATAATTTCCCATGTGGACCTGTATCAAATGCCTTACTGAAATTCAGGTACGTAAGATCTACTGCATTTCCTTTATCTAAAAAATCAGTTATCTCCTCAAAGAAGGAGATCAGGTTGGTCGGGCATGATCTACATTTTGTAAAACCATGTATTTATCCCAATTACCATTTACCTCTGTTTCCTTAACTGCTTTCTCTTTCAAAGACCTGCATACAACTGAGGTCAAACTAACAGGCCTGTAGTTTCCTGGATCACTTTTCTCCCTTTCTTAAAAATAGGACCAATATTAGAAATTCTCCCCCAAGTTTACAGATCCATTAAAAATCCTTGCTATTGGGCTTGCAATTTCATGTGCCAGTTGCCTTAATATTCTTGGATGGAGATTATCCAGGCCCCATGATTTAGTCCCATTAAGCTTTTTGAGTTTGATTTCCACCTCAGATACCATAATTTCTACTTCCATATACTTGTTCACATTAGCTAGGCTGCCACTTCCCCTAAACTCGTCATTACTCTTACTAAAAACTGAGGCAAAGTATTCTTTTAGGTGTTGGGCCATACCTGGATTATCTTTAATCTCCACCCCATCCTCAGTGCTTAGTGGTCCCACTTTTGTGTCCAACTTTGGGCCCCCCAGTACAGACAGGATGTGGACAAATTGGAGAGAGTCCAGCAGAGGGCAATGAAAATGATCAGGGAGCTGGGGCACATGACTTACGAGGAGAGGCTGAGGGAACTGAGCTTGTTTAGTCTGCAGAAGAGAACAGTGCGGGGGGA